GGCGTGGAGGAACTTCCGAAATAACAGAACAGCAGAAAGCAGAGAGAGATACCAGAGAACCAGGAATTAGAATGTCAGTGTGAGAAGAGAAGCAGAGACAGTATGAAAATGATATAGCAAATAAAGATAAGACCGAACCAAAACTACTCTACAGCCACATCAGGAGGAAAACAACAGTGAAAGAACAGGTGATGAAACTTAGAACAGGTGAGGACAGGTACACAGAATGACAGAGGTGTGTGAAGAACTCATCTAGAGATTTCATGACTTCACAATAGAACGAGATAAAGTCCTTGAGCTAGGACAGGTGGCAGTAAACCAGGATGCTATGGAAGGGTTCGAAATTACCAGAGATGAGGTAAAGAGGCATCTGTTGGATCTGGACGTTAGAAAGGTGGTTGATCCGGACGGAATCTCACCATCGGTACTGAAAGAGTGCGCAGAAGTACTTTGCTTGCCACTCTCCATAGTATATAATAGGTCATTAGAGACGGGAGACTTACCAGAAATATGGAAGACGGCTAATGTAGTTGCAATATACAAAAAGGGTGACCGGCAAGAGGCACTGAACTACAGGCCAGTGTTTTTAATGTGAATACCATGAAAGGTGATGGAGAAGATCGCGAGAAAGAACCTAGAAGTACATCTGGAGATGTATTCCGTGTTACTGAAGGGACTTTGGGACACACCACCATTATGGGTTCAGAGAGGGTAAATCTTGCCACACAGGTTTAATAGAATTCTACGATCAGGTGACAAAGATTAAGAAAGAAAAGGATGGGCAGACTGCATCTCCTTGGACTTCCGGAAAACCTTCGACACAGTACCCTACAAGAGGCTGGTGCATAAGCTGGAGAAGCAGGCAGGAGTAACTGGTAGTGTGCGCCAGTGGATAAGAAAGTAACTAAGCAATAGGAAGCAGAGTTTTACAGTGAGGGGTGAGACCTCAGATTGGCGTGAAGTCACCAGTGGAGTCCCACAGGGCTCTGTACTCGGACCTATCCTGTTTATGACATTCGTAAATGATCTCCCAGAGGGTATAGACTCATTCCTCTCGATGTTTGCTGACGACGCCAAAATTATGAAAAGGATTATGACAGGACGACAGCATGAGGCTTCAAGAAGACCTGGACAAACTGAAGGAATGGTTCAACAAATGGTTGTTAAGAGTTTAACCCGAGCAAATGTAATGTAATGAAGATAGGGGTCGGGAGCAGGAGACCAGATACAAGGTATCACTTGGGAGATGAAATTCTTCTAGAATCAGAGAGAAAGACCTGGGGGTTGATATCACGTCAGACCTGTCCCCTGAAACCCACATCAAAAGGATAACATCAGCGGCATATGCCAGGTTGGCCAACATAAGAACGGCCTTTAGAAACTTATGTAAGGAATCATTCAGGATCTTGTATACTACGTACGTCAGACCAGTCCTGGAGTATTCAGCGCCAGCATGGAGTCCTTATCTCGTCAAGTATAAAACTAAATTGGAGAACGCTCAGTGGTTTGCCACCAGACTAGTACCCGAGCTGAGAGGTATGAGTTACGAGGAGAGACTACGGGAATTAAACCTCACTTCTCTGGAAGACAGAAGAGTTAGAGGGGACATGATCACCACATACAAGAATCTCAAAGGAATTGATAGGGTAGATAAAGGCAGGCTATTTAACACGGGGGGTACACGCACTAGGGGACACAGTTGGAAACCGAGTGCCCAAATGAGCCATAAAGGCATTAGAAAGAATGTTTTCAGTGTCAGATTAGTTCATAAATGTAATGCATTAGGAAGTGATGTGGTGGAGGCTGACTCCATACACAATTCCAAATGTAGATATGATAGAGCCCAATAGGCTCAGGAATCTGTACAACAGTTGATTGACAGTTGAGAGGCGGGACCAAAGAGCTCATCCCCCACAAGCACAACTAGGTGAGTACACAAACACACGAGGGGGGGGGGGTTACCTGGCGTTACCCGTGTATATCTGTCTCCCACCAATCTTCTCATCCATCCATCTACTCGTCTATCCATCCATCCATCTACTGTCTGTCTCTTGGCAATACCCAGCGTGCAGGTTCGACTCCTCCTCCTTGGCCCCTACTGATTTTCTCTCTCATTTTTACCTCCGCCACCCTCCCTCTGTTTAGGGAGGTGGGCTCAAGAGTAGAGGACTTCCGACTCCTGTTTATAAGTTAAGATCTTTCACTTGTCAATATCTTCTGGTAAATCTTACCCTATTAGCTGTGCCTGCAACACGACTTCCCAGTCGATTTTACTCCCAGGTCCTCAGTTATTGCTGGGTGAACAGGGGCGATCAGTTATGGACTAGTTCCCAGTCAGTCCTCTCCGGGTTTTGACACCCGGAGAATGGGGTGGGTGTGGATGGGTGTGTTCACGTATTTTTGTTTGCGGGGGTTGAGCTCTGCTCTTTCGGCCCGCCTCTCACTGTCAATCAACTGGTGTACAGGTTCCTGAGCCTACTGGGCTAGGTGTATGTATGTATACACTAGGCCAACAACGTACCTTCCTTTCCCCCCCTCAGGATGCAGGCCCAAAAGCTGTCTAATTCCCAGATACCCATTTTACTGCTAGGTGAACAGAGCCATGAGATGAAAGGAAACCACTGTCAAATAGCTTCAGTTCAGGCCGGTATTTTGAACCCTGTACTTACAGCTGAAAGTCGAAGTCGTTCACCGCTTGACCACGTGACCAAATAAGCAAGCAACAAGGATGCAATTGAACAAGACCTAGGTACACACTCTGAGTGTATTGCTCAAAACTCAGGTTTGACCGGAGCGTTCTGATCGCAGCCTCGCGTGTCCTGTGATATAAGACGATCAGACACTATTAGAGAAGATTTCCTGGATATTATTCTACTTACGAATATTAACATTTTCTTACATTATTTCCCTCAATTCGAGCTATGTAAAACGTACAATGTTAATCGTTTGTTAAATATGGAGAAATGTGCCGGAGTGAGGAAGACGGGTGATAGTGAGCGCTGATCAATTATATCCGGCCGGGTGCCGGGTGTTGTGGATCAACCGCTTGTGGTTGCCTGGGGATGCCGTCAGCGTCGGCGCCGTGGGAGCCGTCCACGCCAGCAGTTACTGCTGGACTGTGATGGAGTGACCAGGTGTAGTGTTGAAGTGTTTTGTGAGCATGTCTGTGAAGTGAGAGGTATACTTAGTGTTGCGTGGATTGTGCGTGACCTGCACGCGCGCGCGCGAACACATCTCTAGTCCATATAGACGGTGTGTGGGCGCCTTCCTCCGCCTGCCTGTGTTCCATGTTGCTCCAACATGCAGCAATGACACACAGAGTTCACACTAACGTGATGCATCAAATGAACAAAACCCTGTCGTAGCTCAGTCGATTAAGGCAGTGTCTGGGATGCTCCCGGACGCAGGTTCGAATCCTCGTCACAGCCCTTGTGGATTTGCAGCAATGAGATATTCGCTTGAGCCACACATGGCCACATACTTCTATTGTTCTATGGAACCATAGAAGTATGGTTCCATAGAACCATAGAAGGTATTGTGTGGAATCTTCTATGGATGGTTCCAAACAGGCGTGACGATTAATGTGAAAACCAAGGAAATTGAAAACATAATACTTGAACAATCTCGTGTATCATATAAGACCTTTTCAGAGGAGCTGACATAACGCCTACAGCAGTTGTTACATAGACGGGATTAGGGAAATGAAGTGTGGGAGAAAATTAAGTTTTCATTTAGTCTGGTTCAGGTTCGAGTCCCAGCGAGCATAGTTATCCAGTTCAAGTAAGTCTGATATAATAAAATACATCCCGGAAGGATAGAGCACAAAGGATAGGGACACCTGCCTCGTATCCTTGACCCCCCAGGGACACCTGCCTCGTATCCTTGACCCCCCAGGGACACCTGCCTCGTATCCTTGACCCCCCAGGGACACCTGTCTCGTATCCTTGACCCCCAGGGACACCTGTCTCGTATCCTTGACCCCCAGGGACACCTGCCTCGTATCCTTGACCCCCAGGAACACCTGCCTCGTATCCTTGACCCCCAGGGACACCTGCCTCGTAGCCTTGACCCCCAGGGACACCTACCTCGTAGCCTTGACCCCCAGGGACACCTGCCTCGTAGCCTTGACCCCCAGGGACACCTGCCTCGTAGCCTTGACCCCCAGGGACACCTACCTCGTAGCCTTGACCCCCAGGGACACCTGCCTCGTAGCCTTGACCCCCAGGGACACCTGCCTCGTAGCCTTGACCCCCAGGGACACCTACCTCGTAGCCTTGACCCCCATGGACACCTGCCTCGTATCCTTGACCCCCAGGGACACCTGCCTCGTAGCCTTGACCCCCAGGGACACCTGCCTCGTATCCTTGACCCCCAGGGACACCTGCCTCGTAGCCTTGACCCCCAGGGACACCTGCCTCGTAGCCTTGACCCCCAGGGACACCTGCCTCGTAGCCTTGACCCCCAGGGACACCTGCCTCGTAGCCTTGACCCCCAGGGACACCTGCCTAGTAGCCTTGACCCCCAGGGACACCTGCCTCGTAGCCTTGACCCCCAGGGACACCTGCCTCGTAGCCTTGACCCCCAGGGACACCTGCCTCGTAGCCTTGACCCCCAGGGACACCTGCCTCGTAGCCTTGACCCCCAGGGACACCTGCCTCGTATCCTTGACCCCCAGGATGGAACATGCTGCAGTGCTGGAAGCAGCATGAAGAGGGGGTCCTGCAGTGATGTATAGTTACAGTAGGTCACTACAATGATGTAGGTGATACAGTAAGGTATTGTATTGGAGACAGAAGTGGGATGCAACAACTCAACAATTTGGAGTTTAACATTTTTTTTAATAGAGCAAGTTAAAATTTGTTGTAGTTTATTGGGGAGTTGGACATTTTGGGTAGTAATTATCTCTGTACCATTATTGCTTAGGCCCAGAGAGATTATAGAGCGAGACAGTTGCCAGTGTTAAAACAAAACAAAATACTGTGTACACTACAGGAAGGCGTCATCTATGGTGGTGGGATCGACCGGTGGAATAGCGAGGCTGGATATTGGGGGATCGAACGCACTATTTCTGGGAGGTAACTCCTTTCCTGCACGAAGTAACCTTTTCCGGTGGAACGGAACTCCTTCCAAGTGAAACACAACTGCTTGCTCCTGGACGGAACTCCTTCCCTGTGAAACTGAAGCTCGTCCCTGTGGGACGGAGCCCCTTGCAGTGGGACGTAATATCAACCCATTGGGGCCCCCATGACTCGCACCTACGCCAACACCAGTCGACTCCCCAGGTAAATATCTCTACACAAACTCCTCAAGACTCGCAATCCGTTCAATGTGTTTACTTCTCACTGACAAAGCTCTATATTAGAATAATGCGTAATAAAATCCTAATAAAACGTATCCAGAAAAGCTTGGAGTAAATCATGTTATAAAAGTTACTGGAGGAATGTCTCGTACCAGATCGCGGGTCACACCCACAACTTCTCTCCACCTCTTACGGGCTATTCATGCCCGTGTCACCTCTTGGGTGGCTTAATCTTTATCAATCGGTTCTCTCCACCATCGACAGGCTCGACACCCCGAGGGAGCACGAGAGGATGCGAGAGCAGTCTCCACAGGACCTGCGGGGGGCCAACTATTACAGGCTGCAGGACAAACACCGCCCCGGGCCCTCCTCCTCCACCAGGCGAGTTGGTTTGTGCGTCTCGCGGATCGCAGAGCAACCCGTCCTCTTAAAAAGAACGTCACTTTTGGCTCGTATGCGCGATATGGCTAAATTTGGACGTAATTTAAAATGAAATCGACTCACAAAAGTGACGTTCTGTTCCGTTTTCTATTTGAGTCGTCCGGCGTACGCGCAGAGGTTATAAGAGGACACTTTAAATTCACGTTTTTCATATCGTTTTGAAACTTTATGAGAATTTCCTGCCCACCTAACCTATCAGTGATCCCTTAACTTACTGTTGTTGAAAACAAAAATCCCAAATTTATTTTAATTTTTTTTTCATTTTCAAATTACGTCCAAATTCGGCCATATGGGCAAACGGCCAAAAGCGACGTTCTTTTTAAGAGGACAGGTTGAAGGGCCAATAGACGTCTAACTTGAGAGTGTCCTTCACAAACACTCTTAAGCATGACGTCTATTGTCAGAAGTTAGACGCTTGGGGTTTGTTAGTTCGTCATTCACTCATTATATTGTAATATCCAAATAGGCTGATATACTTAAAGGCACAAGTAGCGTGATCAAATTTCCTGTGTATGTTGGGTGATATAGTTAAACATACTGTACTGTACAACGTACTGTAGGATGATAGGATGATAGATATCATTTCATGTCAGTAGGGTTATATAATTACCTGAGTTTTACTTTAATTGACCTGAATGTCTTTATTCTTGGCATTTACGGTCAGACAATTATTACAAGTAGGAATAATTATTACTAGTAGAAAACTAGCTAATAGAATGCACCATACTCTTCCTCTAAGTGGTTGTTTATTGTACAGCCTGAATGATAGATCCTCAGGTATGTTTCCTGAATGATTGTAGAATAATCATAATAGGGAGCCGGTCGGCCGAGCGGACAGCATGCTGGATTTGTGGTACTGGGTTCGATCCCAGGCGCCGGCTAGAAACAATGGGCAGAATTTCTTTCACCCTATGCCCCTGTTACCTAGCAGTAAAATAGGTACCTGGGTGTTAGTCAGCTGTCACGGACTGCTTCCTGGGGGTGGAGGCCTGGTCGAGGACCGGGCCTCGGGGACACTAAAGCCCCGAAATCATCACAAGATAACCTCAAGATGCGGTAGGGTTAAACACATCTTTCATGCCTGTGTCAGACTGTGCAAGCGTCTGAGACGATGAGCCAAATTGATCACAAAAGTCAGAGGAAACCGAGCTTCAGTAATACACATCTCTGTAATGTCTGGCCGTTTAGAATGTCTCTTGCCTACGTCAGGGTGGTGCTGCTGCCGGTGCTGGAGGACGAGGACCACCCGCTGCCCTACTACTGCTCGGGGGACGTGGTCCTCCCCGCCCTGGCCGAGGTCCCTTGGAAGGAAGATGAGAAGAGGAAGGCCAAGGCCCGGGTCGAGGTCAGTGTGTGTGTTCAATGTGGTCAGTCTTTGAGGTTCGTGGGTCAGCATCTGTATTATGGTCATAGAGTCGATCTTTGAGGTCAAGGATGATACCCTGCCTGTGCCCGATCTTACTCGGACCTCCCCCCCCCTCACTTCCCTGATGGTATCACAGAGCCCTAACTGCCCTGATAGGTGGTATCACAGAGCCCTAACTGCCCTGATAGATGATATCACAGATCCCTAACTGTCCTGATGTATGGTATCACAGAGCCCTAAGAGCCTACTTTATCCATTATTCACAGTAGTTCAACTCGATTTCTCCTCAGCGTCGTGGATTGAGCAGCAAGCCCACGCTCTCTTAGTGTTTCTTGTAGGAACAATAAGACGACAGGTTAAGAAGAGCTTGCCTGAATATAACCCGAGGGCCAATATCTCCTTAGGGAAGCCGGCGGATTGTCAAAATTACCTTCATTGTTCTTGAGGATTTTTTCTCTCTGGATTTTAAATCGATGTGTCGGCGTTTACAGTTTTGACAGGTTGGCGGTTCTATGGGTTTATATTCCTATTGGTGAAATAGGATTATATTTGACTTATATCCCTCCTTATATCTGACCTTTTAAAGAAGTCTGATTTAATATCCGACAACCTGCTCAGCACTTTAGTCTCGATCAGATCAGCCGTGTCATGTATAGTGATGTGGTGTACAGTCCTCCCTGGTGTGTATAGTGCTGTGGTGTACAGTCCTCCCTGGTGTGTATAGTGCTGTGGTGTACAGTCCTCCCTGGTGTGTATAGTGCTGTGGTGTACAGTCCTCCCTGGTGTGTAGAGTGCTGTGGTCTACAGTCCCCCTGGTGTGTATAGTGCTGTGGTCTACAGTCCTCCCTGGTGTGTATAGTGCTGTGGTCTACAGTCCCCCTGGTGTGTATAGTGCTGTGGTGTACAGTCCTCCCTGGTGTGTAGAGTGCTGTGGTCTACAGTCCTCTGGTGTGTATAGTGCTGTGGTCTACAGTCCCCCTGGTGTGTATAGTGCTGTGGTCTACAGTCCTCCCTGGTGTGTAGAGTGCTGTGGTCTACAGTCCTCCCTGGTGTGTATAGTGCTGTGGTCTACAGTCCTCCCTGGTGTGTATAGTGCTGTGGTCTACAGTCCCCCCTGGTGTGTAGAGTGCTGTAGTCTACAGTCCTCCCTGGTGTGTATAGTGCTGTGGTCTACAGTCCCCCTGGTGTGTATAGTGCTGTGGTGTACAGTCCTCCCTGGTGTGTAGAGTGCTGTGGTCTACAGTCCTCTGGTGTGTATAGTGCTGTGGTCTACAGTCCCCCTGGTGTGTATAGTGCTGTGGTCTACAGTCCTCCCTGGTGTGTATAGTGCTGTGGTCTACAGTCCTCCCTGGTGTGTATAGTGCTGTGGTCTACAGTCCTCCCTGGTGTGTATAGTGCTGTGGTCTACAGTCCCCCTGGTGTGTATAGTGCTGTGGTCTACAGTTCCCCCTGGTGTGTATAGTGCTGTGGTCTACAGTCCCCCTGGTGTGTATAGTGCTGTGGTGTACAGTCCTCCCTGGTGTGTATAGTGCTGTGGTCTACAGTCCCCCCTGGTGTGTATAGTGCTGTGGTCTACAGACCCCCCTGGTGTGTATAGTGCTGTGGTCTACAGTCCTCTGGTGTGTATAGTGCTGTGGTCTACAGACCCTCCTGGTGTGTATAGTGCTGTGGTCTACAGTCCTCCTGGTGTGTATAGTGCTGTGGTCTACAGTCCTCTGGTCTTCAGCATATGTCTTTGCCTGCTCTGCTTTAAGAACTAAATAATTTATTTTGTTTTCTTACATATTTAACATTTCCCGCGAGTCTGACAAATTCTTGTTCCCTTGAAATCCCTAAGTAAATATTATTTAGGAAATAGGGTTGTTGAGATATGAACCACATTGCCAGGTAACAAAATAGACGCAGATCGCTCGATTGTTTCAAGTGTAGGATATACACACTATAAATATGAGCTTCCACGTATAGGCCCATATAAGCCCTCTGAAGCACCTTTGTGTATATGTTATCTTGAGAAAGGAGGCGCAGAGTGCTGTAGAGCTCAACACTTCCTGTAGAGGCCGAACACTAACACATTGGTAAGCACCTGAAGCAACACAAGTTATACATGTAATAACACCACCAGTAGCAACAGTAACACCACCAGTAGCAACAGTAACACCACCAGAAGCAACACACAGTAACACCACCAGAAGCAACACACAGTAACACCACCAGAAGCAACACACAGTAACACCACCAGAAGCAACACACAGTAACACCACCAGAAGCAACACACAGTAACACCACCAGAAGCAACACACAGTAACACCACCAGAAGCAACACACAGTAACACCACCAGAAGCAACACACAGTAACACCACCAGAAGCAACACACAGTAACACCACCAGAAGCAACACACAGTAACACCACCAGAAGCAACACACAGTAACACCACCAGAAGCAACACACAGTAACACCACCAGAAGCAACACACAGTAACACCACCAGAAGCAACACACAGTAACACCACCAGAAGCAACACACAGTAACACCACCAGAAGCAACACACACAGTAACACCACCAGAAGCAACACACACAGTAACACCACCAGAAGCAACACACACAGTAACACCACCAGAAGCAACACACAGTAACACCACCAGAAGCAACACACACAGTAACACCACCAGAAGCAACACACACAGTAACACCACCAGAAGCAACACACAGTAACACCACCAGTAGCAACACACAGTAACACCAGAAGAAGCAACACACACAGTAACACCACCAGAAGCAACACACAGTAACACCACCAGAAGCAACACACACAGTAACACCACCAGAAGCAACACACACAGTAACACCACCAGAAGCAACACACAGTAACACCACCAGTAGCAACACACAGTAACACCAGAAGAAGCAACACACACAGTAACACCACCAGAAGCAACACACAGTAACACCACCAGAAGCAACACACAGTAACACCACCAGTAGCAACACAGTAACACCAGAAGAAGCAACACACAGTAACACCACCAGTAGCAACACAGTAACACCAGAAGAAGCAACACACACAGTAACACCACCAGAAGCAACACACAGTAACACCAGAAGAAGCAACACACAGTAACACCACCAGTAGCAACACACAGTAACACCACCAGAAGCAACACACAGTAACACCACCAGAAGCAACACACAGTAACACCACCAGAAGCAACACACAGTAACACTACCAGTAGCAACACACAGTAACACCACCAGAAGCAACACACAGTAACACCACCAGAAGCAACACACAGTAACACCACCAGAAGCAACACACAGTAACACCACCAGAAGCAACACACAGTAACACCACCAGAAGCAACACACAGTAACACCACCAGAAGCAACACACAGTAACACTACCAGTAGCAACACACAGTAACACCACCAGTAGCAACACACAGTAACACCACCAGAAGCAACACACACAGTAACACCACCAGTAGCAACAGAGGGTGCCAACGACACCTCACTAGAGTGACTCTGGGCCTGCGTCTCCCCCGACAGACCTTCGTCAACGACAGTAACCTGCAGACGGCGCTGCTGGACGACCTGGTGGACGACACCATCCAGGAGGAGATCGTTGCCGTCGCCTCCACGGTCATCGAAGAGAGCAAGTACGAGGTCAGTACACGGGGGGTCAACAGTGTACAGGTCGTGGGGGTCAATAATACAGATTTACCGAATTGTTTTCCCTTCAGTGATTCTGAATTACCAGTGATTTCTCCCCCGGCGGCGTGACCCACCTGCAGAAGGAGACGGACAGGACTGTGGCGGGTCTAGTGGAGGAAGGGTTGGTTATGCCCGAGGTGCAGCGTCTGGTGTACCTTGGCGTGTGGTCGCTTCTCTTCGAAATCGGCCGTTCCCTCCCTCAGGAGCAGTACCTCGAACTCAAGAAGGAAGAAGACCGGCTGGTCCTCGATAGAGTGGCTCGAGAGGCGCTGCTCTCCCAGATGCTAGAGGTGAGGAAAGGCTGCAATAGAGGGATGTAATAGAGAGGGAGGCTTCAATTCCCTCCTAAAGTAGAATTGTCTTTAACCGTGTGCGGTGCTCGCTAGGGGGAGCAGTGGGCGGAGAACCTGAAGGAGGAGAAGATGCTGTCGGAGGTGCCGTGGGACGTGCTGGTCTTCCACTACCACAGACAGCTGCAGGAGAACGCGCTCTCCAACAACGTCGCTCTCAGGATGCTGCAGGTGAGGCCTGGGGCTCTCTCCACACGGGGGGGGGGGGGGGGGCGGAGAAGGGGACGATCATGGGAGAAAGAAAATGAATGGAGAAATCGATGCCCGAAGTAGAGGATGAGGAATTAGAGAGGATTTGATTGGTGGACCAGGAAAGGATGAGAGAGAGGGAGAGGGAGAGAGGGAGAGGGAGGGAGAGGGAGAGGGAGGGAGAGGGAGGGAGAGGGAGGGAGAGGGAGGGAGAGGGAGAGGGAGAGGGAGAGAGGGAGAGGGAGAGGGAGGGAGAGGGAGAGGGAGAGAGGGAGAGGGAGGGAGAGGAACTATCGAGAGACAGCACCAAGCTATTATGACTATATGCACTTGGAAGTGGTCAGGATATATGGATTTGGGATGGGACGGGGGGAAAAAGGAATGGTGCCCAACCACTTGGACGGTCGGGGATTGCACGCCGACCTGCATGAAGTGTTACCAGAGGCGAACTGCTTAAATTGACGCTCTGCTGGTCTAAAAGTAGCGAATTTGTAGATAAAGTAGCCCAATATTTTGTTTAGCGTTTGATACGGTTTTCAGAGTAATGTATTTTAATACATAGATAAACACTACATGATTTAATGCTTGTATTTAAATTATCTCTGCATGTATAATAACAAATGTTATCATAGTATAACTTAGCATTATTTACTGCATGAAGCATAATGGGTGTAGAGTCCTTCAATGTCTTCACATTTGAAGATTATCAAGATCATCTTCGCCTGCAGCCACAACCTCATCCTTGTATATTGGACTCATATGATATCACTGACACGGGTGGTTCAAGTGATGAGCAACAAGTGTTTTAATCTTTTTTGAAAAAGATTTTTCATCTTTTTGAAAGTTTCAGCATTACTAGGTTTACTAGAGAAAAGCGCTTTGCAAGCTTTCACTAAAAATTTATGGCATATTCATTGACTATTTTTAATGTTTTCCTGGTTAATATATTTTTTTTGACTGTTAGTGGCCAGAACTGTTGAAAATTTATAACAAAAAGCCACTTTCTCCAGGGGCAGATTAATGGAATTAAAGTCCGAATTAATATGCTTTGCATGATCAGGATGCACGATTCTTCCAAGTACTTGGGGCTCCCAACAGCTGGGTGGACAGCGCTTTGGATTCGTAGTCCTGAGGTTCCGGGTTCGATCCCCGGTGGAGGCGGAGGCAAATTGGCAAAATGTTTCTTTCACCCTGATGCCCCTGTTACCTAGCAGTAAATAGGTACCTGGGAGTTAGACAGCTGCTACGGGCTGCTTCCTGGGGGGGTGTAACAAACAGGAGGCCTGGTCGAGGACCGGGCCGCGGGGACGCTAAGCCCCGAAATCCTCTCAAGATAACCTCAAGATAAGATTCCAAGAGTGAAGTTTTCTAAGTGTGAAGGCTACACTGATCTGCTTCATTTTTTTGATAGTCAATTCATCCTTTCAAAATCATTTAGGATTGGTTTCAGGAATGTGAAATATAGCTTATTATGGCAGGATTAGAGTACATTGAAAATAATTGCCTTGCAATATACTTTAAATAACGTTTCTCTCCTGTAAGAATATCCGTGGCACCAGCTGTAGCTTTCTCTTATCAGGAAGTCGAAGCTGGAATGTAATTCGTCAGATGCATCAGAACAGACCAAACGCAAGGAATGTCGTGCATTTGATAAGAAACAAATAAGGGATATCCTTCTTCATCACAGTGTAAAATGAGAGGTGACACGGGAGACATCTCCCGTCACGCAGGGTGCAGTCGCACCTCCACAGATCTCCAGTATCAGCTCTTGATACTGGTAATGGCTCAAAAGGGCCACCACTTACGGGTTATTCATGCCCGTGCTACCTTTTGGGTGACTTTCTTCATCAATCAATCTGAGAGGTGAGGTCTACACAGACCCCAACACACACACATTAAATGATGTAAATAACCAATTAAAAACGTCCACTCACGGATGTAACCAACAAACTCACACTAAACATAAAATAAGACCTACCACATATTATTTGGAAGCAAATTAACAAATGCAATTCAGCTTCAGATAGACAATGTTAACGTCAGCAATAAAAAGGATGGGAAGTTCCTTGGCCTATACATACACAAGAGCCTCAACTTCAGCACCCACATACAACACATTACCAAAAAAGTCTCATAAACGGCCGGTATACTTTATAAAATATGATGTTCCAAACTCTGCTCTCCTCTCGTTATATTATGAGCTAATCTATCCCAATCTTAAATACGGTATCTGTGCATGGGGTTCAACCACTGCAAACTACCTCAAGCCCATCATCACTCCAGCAATAATCTACTATCAGAACAATAACAAACTGCTTTCAGACAACACTGTTTAAATCCTTTCAGACAACACTGTTTAAATCCTTTCAGACAACACTGTTTAAATCCTTTCAGACAACACTGTTTAAATCACTCAACATGCTAAACAAACTCACTCCATACATTCTCGTGTGCCACTTACATAATTTTAATAATTCACTATGTCGGGGGACAGGAAGCCAGTGTGTGTTCATACACGTTTGGCTTTTATCAAGGTACAAATGGCCAAATTACAGACCCCCGCCCAGGATGCAACCCCACAAGCTGACTAACGCCTGAGTACCTACACACTACTAGGTAAACAGAGATTGATTGATGAAGATTAAGCCACCCATAAAGTGGCACGGGCATGAATAGCCCGTAAGTGGTGACCCTTTGGAGCCATTACCAGTATCATTAGCTGATACTGAGATCTGTGGACAGATGTAATAGAACCCATAATCACCACACCAGAAATAAATATCTCTGATATCCCCAGAGTCAAACTAAATCTGTGTAAATCACACTGCAAATAAAGGGACCTAGTCTATGGAACTCGCTCCCTAATGAATTATAAAGCTGTCCAACCTACCCCCTTGTTCAAAAGTAATACCAAAAAGTACCTATCCTTATAGTTTTCTACCTTATGCTTCACACTCGCACTGTATAGTGTGCTACCCCAAAATATGTTCCTAAGCCATATAACTTCACCGTTGCAATCACTGCCATCATCTTGTATCTAGGTTATGTTGAACGCAAATTTTACTACAATGTACCTAAAAATAATCCTCAAATTATGCTACAATGTATCTGTCAATAATCCTCAATTTTTCACTAAAATGTACCTACTAATTTTCTTCATTTTCTTTCACTGTACCTGTTAACTTCTTTAAATTTTGCTACAAATTACTTAAAATTATGTAGGATTAAGGACCTGCCCGAAACGCTATGCATGTTAGTGGCTTTACAAGAATGTCAAAACATCAATGCTATGTACTCTCATAAATCCATTGTACCTTCTTATATATAAATAAACAAGTTGACGCCCCGTCCGTCCAATACGCTGCTTCAAATCATCTCCACCATAGCCAAAATAATCTTTTGAGGTGTTTGCTACAAGGCTTCAGAGGTATAGTGCTTGTGACTTGAACTTTTCCCATAACCTGGGGTAAAATCCTATTGTGTTTAGCTTTATAATGTCGAACACAGACACACACACGCATGTTTTTCACACGCAATATCTGTTTACTCACTACACTACACACTTTGTTCACTACACTCTGTTCTGTTTACTCATCTATAGGTGGTTCACTGGTGGTCCATCACTACATAGTGGTACTTTCAAACACCAAATAGGTAAGAACTATCATTTCAGGAGGATGGGCTGCTTGCGTAGACATTACCTAGGATGAAGTATTACTGACAATTAAGGATGGGAGGATTATCGTCCCAGGGGAGGATTACCTTACCCTGCGGTTACTTTTTCTTTCCAAGGTTCCGAGGATCAATGTCCCCAGGGGCCCGGTCTCTGTCCAGGCCTCCTGCGGTTGGTGGTCTGGTCAACCAGGCTGTTGGACGCGGCTGTGATTTACCTACATTATATGCATAAATAATGTCATTGATTTTCTAAACATTAATAGCCCAAATAAGCCCAACTTATTTTTTAATTAGCCCAACAAGTCGCAAGTAACGAGATTATAAATATAAGAGCGCCGAGCTCTGAAAAGTAGCCCAATTCGCTACTTGAACGTTATATTATGATCTGGAAAGTAGGGATAGGGTGACCTTGTGCCAGTATGATAGGCTGGCAAACCTGACCTTCCACAGGAGCGGCTGGTGATGCAGGCTGCGAGGGAGGAGGTCTTCAACAATTGCCTCCTAGACGTTCTGGAGGAGCAACTTACGCACACCGACGAAAATGAGAAGCTTTCCACGCCCCCGCGCCTAGGGTGACCTGCGCTCCCCGCGCCTAGGGTGACCTGCGCTCCCCGCGCCTAGGGTGACCTGCGCTCCCCGCGCCTAGGGTGACCTGCGTTCCCCGCGCCAAGGGTGACCTGCGCCCCCGCGCCAAGGGTGACCTGCGCCCCCCGCGCCAAGGGTAACCATCCCCGGGGCACCATTCCTTCCCCTTGTCCTCGTATCCCTTTCCGGATGCTATATAGTTATCACGGATTAGCCCGTGTTATATGGACATTTTGTTCCGAGTAGCTAAATCTTAAACAACAAACAACACTTTCTCCTCATAATTACGTTACCATCACATGTTCATCTCCGTACTCTTTCTGGTAAGACATGCTCTTGAATGTCACTATTCAGTGCCAGAGCCACCCTGGATTATCCTCTCAGTCACAGCCCACGCACAAGTGTGGCCCTAGCGAGCATCCTCCCCCCTCCGTCCACGGCCCTGTCCTTGTGTCCTCCAAACACCAGGAAAAACTCATTTAAAGAACTCCCTTCATTCCCTGTCACAAAGAGGCTCTTAATTGTAAAACTCTCGGTGAAATCCTGTGGACTACAAGTTAGGAAAGGGAACTACCAGGAGAAAGCGTCTAGCCATTACGACTATGTAGCACTTGGAAGGGATCGGGGGGATAAGGAGTTGGGATAGGACGTGGAGGGAAGGAACCAGCCACTTGGGACGGTCGGGGATTATTTGCACTTTAGCAGGTCGGCGAGGTCATGACCTCCACGGTTGGGGGGGTAGAACTAGCCTAAGCTAATCTATCCCTTTAAGATCTATTTTATTGTCTCAATAAACGTACTTGAAGGGGCCATGAGATTAGTTTTTTTTAAAAGTTGTTTAATGTCAACCAATATTTTTTGACTAGTTGTGTATGAAAAGGGCTGCAATTGTTCCAAGTTTCAGTACTGCAGCCTAAATAGAAAGGGAGACTTTTAATTTTATTTTTTTCAACGAATATTACACATTTTCAAGTGTTTATGAACAACCGCACCTTTCAGATATAATCATTATACGACACTTTTGTCACATTAGCATATAATAAAGGATCTGTAGGAAGGGATTTTCCCAAAATCTTTAGTTTTCCTAAATGCAAATAGTCAAAGTTCCCCCCCCCCAAAAAAAAAAAAAAAATATGCAAATATATCATGTTTATTGCTATTATAAAATCAATAAATGAACTTAGGAAGCAAAGCTTGTGCCACATTTTAGTCATACACTCTACATATAAGGTGTAGTTTCATGTAAATTGAATAAAAAAATGAGTTATAAGAATTTTTGTTACTTGAAAATAAGAAAATAATAGTCTAAGGTGCTTTATCTGTGACTGAGGTTGACATCAACCAATTTCCTTGTCCTCTTGGCAACCTTACAGATAGGCTTACGTGCAGTCAGGTGTATAAGTTTCATACAAATCGTCCGATAAACAAATAAGAACAAAAAATTAAAATAAAAAAATAAATTATATTTTTTAACTTAATTTTTTTAATTAATAAAACTAATTATATATTTTTTAATATATGCTATTGTGATAATTGAGTCATAGACATGATTTCAGTTGACACATGTTTGAAAATCGTTTTTGACCATTTTGGAAATTTTTTGACGCATAATTCAATATTTTTTCTCCCTTCCTGTTTATGCTACGATGCTGAGACTTGAACCAGATGAAACACTTTTCATATACAACACCTCCAAAAAGTTTGATTGAAATCGAACCAGTTTTCATTTATTGCATATTTGGAACTGACGCCCCCCTGAACTTTACCTCCACGAGGCGAGGCCGTGGCTCTACCGCCCAGCCCAAGTGCTTGGATGTTGTTAACCAAGTGTTGAAGGGCGCTTAGTTTGTCGTTACTGATTGTCGATAAGGCGAGGGAAGGGAAGTTATGAGGAGAAAGCGTTAAGCCAGGATAACTATATAGCACATGGAAGCTATATGAGGACAGGCTAGGAGCTGGGATAGTGAAACTGGGTGAAGGAACGATGCCCAGACACTTGGACCATCGGGGATCGAACACCGGTACTTGAAGTGAGACTGCCGATCTACCGACCAGTTCAAGTGGATGACGATCAGATAGTGGACCTAAGTCGATCAGGTCGATTTAGGCTATCGGATTTTTAACGGTAGACTGACGGTCTCGCTTCATGCAGATCGGCGTTCAATCCCTAACCGTCCACGTGGTTGGACACCATTCCTTACCCCCCCCCCTTGTCCCATCCCTAATCCTTATCCTGACCCCTTCTAAGTGCTATATAGTCGTAATGGCTCAGAGCTTTCCCCTGATAGTTCCCCTAAGGCCATCGACCTGGTTGTTATGATGTAAGTCGTAATGACTGTAGCAAAATGTTTAGTTAAGAGGAGTGAAGTGTGACTCAGTAGATGAAACCTGAGGGAACCTGTATCAAGGCAATCTTGAAATCAAAATGGTATTATTTAGCTTCACAGGTTGTGAAGACACTGGACAACACTGGACACAACCCGTTCTCGCACTTTCTTACAGTCAATATTGACTTATTAAATACGTGCATATGTGACATACTAAACATACTAGTTTACCTTGAAAAGCTTCATAGAAAACACCGACCTTACCTAACCTTCTTAGTATGTTAATATAAGCATCTTATAGCTTCGTAATTACAATTATTACTTAACCTATACCTATAATAGGTTAATAATTGTAATTACGAAGCAATAAGATGCTTATCTTAACATACTAAGAAGGTTAGGTAAGGTCGGTGTTTTTCTATGAAGCTTTTCAAGGTAAACTAGTATGTTTAGTATGTCACATATGCACGTATTTAATAAGTCAATATTGACTATACGAAAGTGTGAGAACGGGTTGCTGGACAATCGGGACCCACAAACTAATCATTCACTAATGGCACATTACTAACTATTTGGGACATTTGCTTGATGTGACAAGAATTTCACCGTCATTGTTATACTCCATTAATCCTAAGCTGCATTGAAATTGAGGCGATTTAAGAAATTTGTATGAACAACGATGAAGTAAATGGTATATTTATATTTGTGTTTGCAATGGTTAATCCTTAATGAATGGTTGCATGCAAGTTATAGGTGCAACAGCTCATTCTGTGACTCCTGGAGAAGTGGCACCTGAGCCGTCGAGATGAAAGCTCACTGTACTCGCTCTTATCAGCGACACACCGTAAGTATTGGATGGTCGTTAGAGCTACAAACCTATAGCTATACCTATAGCTTTTTATACCTAACACCTATATATAACCTGTATAACACCTACTTATACCTAAAACCTATAGCTTTTTAACCTCATAGATGTAACGTTAGAATCTGGGGTATCTATCCCAGAACGAACATATATTTGTTCGTTCTGGGATCGCTCAGACTTTTAGAAAGAATCTTTTAATACTCTTTAGTGTGAAAGTAATCCTAAGTTCTAGCGCTTCCCAGAGGGTTATAACACAGCCCATGACCGCCCGCGGCCCACCACCCATGACCGCCCGCGGCCCACCACCCGCGGAACATATATATATTTGATACTCTGACGTGTGCAACTCTTACCTCCTCCACAGATCTCCAGTATCAGCTCTTGATACTGGTAATGGCTTAAAAGGGCCACCACTTACGGGCTATTCATGCCCGTGCCACCTTTTGGGTGGCTTAATCTTCATCAATCGTGTGCAACTCAACCAAATCAAAAGTACCATTTGTGCTTCCTTTTTCCATGATTCTATTCGTACCACTCTTCCCAATCTTACCCTTCACCTTACCCTTCTTCTAGAAGTTACCTTCTTCTCTTACCTGCTCTTCCGGGCGTGATCGTATAGTGGTTAGTACATTGCGTTGTGCGATTACCTGCTATCTACTTTACTATTTTTCTTTATTAACTTGTTCCTTCCCCTTTGCGGGTTATTCATGCCCGTGCCACCTCTTAGGTGGCTTAATCTTCATTAATCAATCAATCCCCCTCACACACACGGGAGCCGTGCACTGCTTCTGTGCCAGGTAAGTCCACTACGGGCTCACCATAGCCCGTGCTACTTGGAACTTTTTGTTCCCAGTAGCTGAATCTTAACCACCAACAACAATAATTATCGTCATCCCGGCCAGTAGCGTTGCTTGCAAGCGAGTGACGTTACGTAGTGTTGACTATGTAACCTCGGTCGCTTTCAACCCAAGCTGCCCATAGGGACAACCCATATAGAGCCCAACAAGCTCAGGAATCTATACACCAGTTAAGAAGCGGGACCAAAGAGCCAGAGCTCAACCTCCCCCCCCCTCTTCCCACCATCACAACTAGGTGAGTATGTTGTTTTAGAGTCAGCTACTCAGAACACGTTCCAGTAGCACGGGCTATGGTGAGCCCGTACTAGGTGAGTATGAGTGATGAAGATTAAGCCACCCAAGAGGTGGCACGGGCATGAATAGCCCGTAAGTGGTGGCCCTTTTGAGCCATTACCAGTATCAATAGCTGATACTGGAGATCTGTGGAGGTGCGACTGCACCCTGCGTGACGGGAGATGTCTCCCCCGTAGGTGAGTATGATTGATTAATTGATAAAGATTAAGCCACCCAAGAGGTGGCACGGGCATAAATAGCCCGTTAGTAGTACAGTTTTTTTCAGTAATTCTTTTCAGTATTCTGAGGTCGCATTTAATCGTCAAGCTGTTATCGCGGGGGAGGATACTTCTTGACAGTCATTATGAGGGTGTCCAGCTGCTGGACACCTTTTTTGACCAGGAGAGTATGAGATGGAGGCTTTTATATATCCGCCTCGCCAGGTAACAGATCTCTTGTATTTTTTTCGTCCTGTTAAGTAAATTGTTTGATGTTATTGTGAACAATAAGTGTGGAAGGTGTACAATTATAACAGGTTCCACTACAGCAGCAGAACCTGAACTATGGTAGTCTATAAAAGACGATAGAGCTTCGGCTTCACAAACGTGGGGACCGCTGTTCGAGTCTTCTAGAACCCAGATGAATGGCCTGATATTCTATGCCTTTCTTTATTAAGGATCACTTTAACAAACTGTGTATAATTGCCTAATTTACTTTTTTTCATTTATATATTTTTCAACAAATAAATTATTTTACACATTAATCTTAAGGTGAGCCCGCGACGCTGCACTCGACTTCTGACTATAACATTATTTATTATGCACCCAATACCCATCCCGTGGGCGCCGCCGGCTTCCTGTCTTCGTCGAAGCCACTACAGAGAGGACAGACTTTTAGATAAAATGGTGTAATATTGGCAACTGGTAAAATATCTGAAGTTAATGCACTGTGTTAAATTGCAGTTAAATTTTAATGAATCAGTAAGTTTAATGAATTACTAAGTTTTCCTAATAGAAAAAAGATGGGAAATGAATGTGCTGGGGTTGTAAGTTGTGCAGCCTAGGGTCATAAACAGCCTTCATGTTCACTATCAACACGATTTTCCTCTATTTGGATTTGTGTTGGCTTTAGACCTTATCTCACCCCCCCCCCCTTTTGAGGGTGATTATTAATAATAATAATTGTAATTAACTGTATGGTAGGCAGATCATTTTTAAAAGCTAATGCCATACACTCACTCGAGTGTATGGGTATGTATACTCGAGGTTTTATTAAGATCTTTACGCAGTATGTAGTAAGTATGGATAAGAATTAAGTTTGGGGTGTAAATACCATTCTTATTTCACGAGTCCTACCTAGTTGCATGACAGAAAACGTTACACTTGAAGGGGTAACTATTGGAAAATGCTGTGACACTTAATAATAATTATTTTGTCCGGTACAAAATAATGTAATATTATGATATTAAAATATTATTTACAATTAGAATGTTATATATAACGTTTTCAAGATACGGAAATGAAGGGAAACTCGGGTAAAAACTCAGCTGCTTTGAAATTACATAAACATATTAATAACAAA